CTGACTTGGGACAATGTAGTGCTCCCTCTCCACGAAGCGGGGAGCACCTCCCCATAGGGACGGACCGCAGCCATCTGTGGCTGCCATGGTAGTCATCATTTCCCTCCTTGTGGGACATATCAGTCAATGGTTAATAAATGATGGACCAAAAATTTACCTGGCTTTGCTTTGGAGATGGAGTGTCACTCGAAAACCAGGAGCTGAAGTCTTGACCTCTGCCATCGTACTTCTGGGATTCGGTGGAGCACTTCGGAAGGGCCTATTTCTACACAAACCTCTACATTCACTGTCTCTTTGTGGATACATGGGCCATTTTCATCCTTCCATTCAAACAGCAGGATTTTGCTAACAGCCCAGAAGCAGACTGGCGCCATGCTCACTTTGACGGCCGGAGCTGGCCCAGAAATAGCAATCCTACTGCCTCAACCTCCCAAGAGCTGAAGTGATAGGATCACACAATCACACCCTGCCAACAGTCTTTGGTGGCCTAACCGGTTGGTTATCAGGAACGCAAGCTGTCAGCTCTACCTCACAGGGCCCTTAGGTGCTTGCTGTGGGGGTCTCACCACGCATCCCTGCTCCTTCCTTGGTAATGGGTTGCTGGTAAGAGAAGGGCAGGGGAGAATTCAGAATTGACACCGTCCACCCGGACTCTTCCCTTCATTACAGATGGGGATGCCTCCAGTGGAAGGCTCAGAGAGCCAAAACCGTCACAAGAGCTGCTGAGATGCAGTGTCAGAGAAAAGCAGGCCTGACTGGCCTGGTTCCTGTGTGCATGCCGGTGTGTCTCAACTGGTTCATTCCTGTGTACACCTGCGTGTCTCAAAGGCCAGACCATCTGACTGGCTTGTAGTTTCCTGGTGTCAGAGAGAAAGCAATGGAAAAACCAAGCTACCATCTGAAAACAGCCCTCCCCCCACACCCTTGCAGGGAATTTATTTCATTTTACTTTTAGAAATAACTTTCTTATTTCAGGACGTGACGGTACTCCATAATAATCCCAACAGTTGGGAGGCTGAGGCAGGAAAATCATTGAGTTCAGAATCTTTGCCTCAAATAAGACAAGGTAATATAGTTATTTCATTTTAGCAGAATCCAGTTAATAAAATTGTTCACCAAGAAGGTCATTTTCTTATGCACAGACACAGTGTGGCATATGTTAACAGATGGAACTTAGGATAATGAAATAACCATGAATGTGCACGCAGAACTCTGTCCAGGATCACTGTCAAGATGCTCCGAAACACTGTGAATTTATTTATTTTTTTCTGTTATGAGGAACCATCTTCCCCAGGGCGGGCAGCATCAAGCCAGAGCATAGGGAATATCAAAATCCTAATTTTTTGCAACAAAAAAGCCCAACTTATTATTTATGCAACATTTTATTTATTTCCTGGGTATGGTTTCAAGTTCAACTCGAAGATGAAACATTTGTTCGGAAGTTAAAGACTTTGCAGGGGACTATGTAAAGCCCCTCTGCCGTGTAATGCACATGAGCTGAGTTATCCAGCCCACCTATCGTCATTACTAAGCACTCAGGCTTCCAGAGGCAAGAGGCAGGGGAGAAGCCATTCACATCACATAAAGTACATAAGACAGATAACAGTCATGAGGTGTTGTTGCTCCTCAGAGGATGGAGGCCACCTTCGGGAGATGCCACTCTGTCTGCTAGGCAGGCCTCTCGGGCCTCCACCCACTCTCAGACTCTCATCGCGGTCAAGGCAGCAAAGGGACAGTGGAGAAGCTGAGTTGTAACTGCTGGACTGAGACTGGATGGAGTTCTACTGGACAGAGCTTGGGAAATTAAAAGCATGAAGCAAAGTGTAGCGTATCCAGGCTTCCGCCGCTTCCCTGTCCTCCCTCCCTCCCTCCCCAGGTACCCTTGGGACAGCACAGGGACAGAACTCAGAACCAGGTCCTGGGGTCTGAGTGGATCATGGACCAGCTAGCTGCCTCAACCCCGGGCATCTGGTGCCTGCCTGGCTTCGGGTTTGCTGAGAAAATTAACTGAGTTCCTAGTTACTGTTATTTCCCTTTGTAACTTCTGATTCTAAGAAACAAAGCCCATTCCTGGTCAAGTCCCCTTACTTCATTTTCAGACCTTAGAGGGGTTGTCTGTGCTCCTGGGAGGGGCTTATTTTGCAGCCCGACAGACTTCTGGGATTTAGATTCAAGTGTCCTGTTAGGAGAAACATAGCAGCTAGAGGCAAACTCATCACACCAACCATGGAATGCTGTGGGACAGCATGAAATGCCCTTTACACCAGGCTCTCTCTAGGAAGGACCCACCTCTGTTTGGTTTGCAGTAACACCGGGGTAAAGCATCATTTTTAAAAAAAAGACATTTGAGGGCTTTATGATAAAGCAGAGGAGGCAAAACATCTGCCGCGAACCACGCTGTAGGTCAGTGTGGGGCCCATAGCTGCATTCTCCTCACATGCATGCCCCTTCTACCCACTGCCTCAGGAAGAACAGTGCTTCGTTACTAGAGCATCCTCATACGCTATGTGCAGACTGGAGCCCGGGAGTGTCGCCCTATCCTGTATTCTACCCCTGCCGTGAGTTCCTGGCCTGTGTCAAGCACTGACCCACAGGATGGAATTTGCAGCATAGGTAGACAAATGGACACTGAAGCAGCTGAATTCAGTGTGTCTCAGCACAGGCATTAGAGAAGATACCCCGAGACACACTCATCCAGAGTGAGAGCCCTGTGTCCGTCATGGGCAGAGTCACGTCTAGCGGGGCTCTGACTGGTTACAAGATGGTGTCCTGAAGACGCTCTCATCCAATGGATGGCATCCCGGAGCAGCCCAGTGTCCAGCATAGGGCACAGAGTCAGGTTCGGCAGGGCTCTGATTGGTTGTGAGATGAGCTTGGTGTGAGTTGTTTGCAGTACTGCAGAAACAAAAAGATGGCCAGCACCTTTCTAAAGTGAAGACATGCTAAAACTGTCTAGATGATCTAGTTACTCAAAATGCATTCCAAATTTTGGCCTGTGGGGTAGGCTATTGTCTTGGGAAGAAAATCATCTGCCCCCTCACCGTGATTATTTAGCATCAGCCTCACAGCAGCTGCATTAACACCACCACCACATCACCCCCACCACCATCATCATCATCAATACCTTCATCATCATCATCACCACCATCATCACCATCATCATAAATACCTTCATCATCATCATCCCTACCATCAGCACAATGACTGTTACTGCCATCAACATTACCACCCCCACCATCACCATCATCATCAATACCTTCATCATCATCATCACCCCCACCATCACCATCATCATAAATACCTTCATCATCATCATCCCTACCATCAGCACAATGACTGTTACTGCCATCAATATTACCACCGCCACCATCATCATCACAATCACTAGCATCATAAACACCATCATCATCACCGACATCATCATTGCCACCACCATCATCATCATCATGACTGTTACCTTCCATAAACATTACCACCACCAACATCACCATCACAATCACCAGCATCATAAATACCATCACTGTCACTACCACCATCAATAACTATCACCATCACTGCCATCATTAACACCACCACATTCACCATCACTGCTATCAATGCCAGCATCCTGACTACCCTCACCACCATGGTGACATCACCATCACCACCAATTCTGATCTCAGCCTTCATGTGCTCTTACTGGCTTTTCTGGGCTAGCTTTGTTGCTTGCACAATTTGGTTTTGTGCTTGGCAGTTGCAATCACATGACTTATGTCTAAGTCGGTTTCAGCAAGGGCTGAAACGTCTCACCTTGATAATGTAAGCAGCTCGGGTGGGTATGACATCTACACAAATGGTTTATGAGATGCTCACAGCATGTTTCCGAAAGCCTCCGCATAGAACAACAAGGAAGCAGGAACTCTTTCTCAAACAGGAGGGTGGTGGGGCATTCTAGGGGAGGCATCCAACCCTAAATGTAGCCTCTGTGGGCAGAGGGGGAAGCCAGCTGCTGGTTTAGGTTTTGGGTATTAATGCTCTGCGATCAGAACCATGTGTAGCCCCTGCCTCGCCCATGATCTGTCAGCCTCCTGAACATTCTGTCCTCTTGTGCCTTCTTGGTAACAGGGCCTAAGCCCTCTCTCCTCTCTGTGACCTTCTATTCACCTCATTCCCTTCCCTGGTGTGTGTCATCCATGCCCAGACTGAGGGTGCTTCAGAGGGATGCCTTTCTGCCTTTCTCAGGAAGGCCCCAAAGCAAGTAGAGACACCGGAGGAGACTGACTAGTGGAGAAGGGACTTTGAGAATTTGAGTGAAATATTGCAGAGTCAACCAAGATGCTACGGAGCTCTGGATGCTGGAACGGGAGAAGGCAGTCATGTTCAAGGTTCTGCCTACTTGACTCACGGAACAGCCCTAGCTTTAACAAAACAAGGCACGCTTTGGCTGCTACTGCCGTCTCTAGGATGTCTGCAACAGGAGCAGCATGGGGCAGGCGCTATTAGTCTGTCCTTGGGCTCTATCACTGCAGTGAAGGAAGGGAACTTGTAGTGCATCATACAGGGCAGACGGAGGCGTCTACAACTATTAACACATATGCCCCACCTGCCAACACTCCTCTCTTAGAGGAAAAAATCCTGGGGCTGAGAAAAGTTGAGCAACATGTCCCAAGTCCACAGGCTCAACAGGCAAAATCAGACCCAAATCTGCTGAACCAGAAACCACACCTTTGGCTTCCACTAGTAAGCAATTTAAACTAAGCAATGATGAAGAGCTGTAGAAATGACTTGGTGGTTAAGAGCGCCGTAAGCAGAGGGACCAGGTTTAATGTCCAGCAACTCCATGGCAGCTCATAGCTGTCCATATCTACAGTTCTGGGAGATCCAACGCCCTCATCTGATCTCTGTGAGCACCAGAGATTCAATAGGTGCACGGACATACATACAGGCAAAACACTCACACGCATAAAATAATCTAAAAAAAATATTTTCAAACAGCAAGTAATCGTGAAAAGAAGACTAACACGGTTTCAATAGCATATTTAATCTAATAAAAATGATTAAATTCAGGGTTCAGAAATATAAAAGATTATCCAAAACAGTTGGGATCATACTTTTCTTTGTAGACAATGTTGACATGCGCGCGAGCTGGCCATTTCTTACCTCTACACAGTTGGAATGAGCAAAGGCCTTCTGGAGCGTGTGTGCACATCCACAGCTGCACACGGAGAGACGGGGGGGGCATGAACAGTTTTCCACATAGAATTCGATCTGAGAGGATTGCCCCAGCTCTCCCCCATCTGTAACTGTTTCTTGAGAGCAGTGAGTACAGAATGACCTAGAGTCTAGGTCTGACAATGGCAGCCAGCCGTACACACAGGCCAAGCCAGTCTCCCACAGTGTGGGTGTCCAGTTCCTAACTCATCCCATAAGGGCCTTGGATGAATCTCTCATACTCTGGAGTCCTCCAAAGAGTGACAGTGACATTCTTAGCTGCCTGTTGTTCAGTACTCTTGGGATGATGTAGTCAAGCTTCCTCTTCCTCGGGGTGTGGTCCATGATCTCTGCAGAAGACCTTGTTCCTTTCCAGGGTATCCCCAGGGACAGCCACAGTAGGATCGAACAGCCACTTAGAAGAGAGGCAGGTGAACTGGGTACTGAGCCGTGGGGTGGAGAGAGTTAGGTTTGCTCTCTGAAGGAGGACTCTCTGGCTGTCTGCCCACTCAGCTCCCTGGAGATTTAACAGCAGGATTGGCTCAAGCAGAGGCAAAACTCAAGCAGAAGCTCAGACTGGAGTCTGACAGAGTCTGGCAGCACGGCCTCAAACCAGAGGCTATTAGAGGTCAAGGCTAGGCTCAAGCGGGGTGCCTGCGTGACCCATGGTGTCGAGTGACATCTGTAGACAGCAAAACCTCATGGAACCGGCAACCATCGACAGGTGACCATGCGTGTAAACTGCACGGCCCTGCCAACTTCTAAGGATATGATCGTCTTCTGGCTTGCATCAAGAGCACTGGGAGCAAGCCAGCAGAGACTGCAGGCAGAGGAAAGGGCCAGGGTACAAGCCAGGCCCTCCACAAAGGCACAAGGAAGTGAAGTTGAAATGCATTCAAAACCCATCCCCACCAGCACAGATCTTTAAGGTCAAACAAGAACACATACATTGTATGTGATTAATTTCCCGAAGCCAGCCTTCCATTTTCACAGATCAAAACAGTCTGTTTAAATATCTCATTTCTACAAAGTGAATTTACATTTAAAGTACAAAGTGCAAATACTATATATATTTTTTTCCTTTTTAATAGCTCTTTGTTGAGGGAAATTCCCACATGTCTAGGATAGTCAGCCTTGGATAGTCAGCCGTTCATCCTTGTCTCCTGGGCTGGGGGGAAAAAAAAGACAGAGCTTATGAAGATGTTTGTGTCTCCCCTCCTTCCCTCTCTGCAGACCAAGGTTGCTTCCAGAAGTAGACCTAATCGCTATGAGGAAAACCAGACAGGAAAGGACAGAGTAGCTTAGAATTAAGGATGAGTGGGTGTGTTGTGCAGGAAGTGTTTCCTTCCCTTGAAATTGTCAGGAAAATGTATCATCCGATAAAAACTGCATTGGCTACGGATGTTTTAAGTGAACTACTAGAGCAGGGTAACCACGACCTTGCCGCCGCCACCACTCTGGACAGTCATATACCATTTTAAAAACTTCCTTTTTACCTTTCTATTTGCTCTTTTACCTGAGAGGAAACACAGCTTGTCTTTGTGTTTATAGTAGGGGTCTCTTGTCCCTCACCACATGGACTTTCAAGGGAAGTCATTTAGATGAGAAAAGTGAAACATCATCTTGTGGTTTTTTTTTTTTTCAAGTGCACCAATCTTCCCAAATAGAAGTTGATCTTCTTATTTGATACTTAAAGTACTGAACTGTAATATTTAGGCTGTCTTTCCTCCTTTCTAATAGCACCACCGGTAGGTGAATAACTCCCATGAAAGTTTTGTCTTAGTTACAGATAAAGATAGTCTTTGGATGTATTGCAGTTTTTATTGAAGATGACCAGAACTATTGAGGAAGACGGCCATCCTTGGCACTGGTATCCAGCACCCAGAGTGCACAGCTCTGATCCTTGCTGATCAAGTATGAAGCTGCCTAGAAAAACAAGTCACTTTCTGATCCCTGGCCCACTGACCCCACACCATGCCATACAGGGATAATGGTGGGGATTTACTCCAGGCATGGAGTTACTATAAGAAAGATGGATAAACTGCACTGTTCTTTATGTCTTTTTTCTGGAATACGGCTGAAGTGGAAGACTTGGTTTTTTTTTTTTTGAGTGGGGGTATTTAAGATTGTACAGCACATGTGTGTCAATAGTCGCCATTAGCTAGAGCAAACAGCCCCTGGGAAGCCTTTGGAGGCAGCTGGTTAATTGCTATCAGACCTACCCCCCCCCTTTGCAAGTGTAAGTGATTTGCAGTGTGGCTGGAAAAGTTAAAACCATAAACATTTACTAAACAAAGGAAAATGAATTACACATCTTTCCTAATGAAATGGCTTTCAATCCCCTCCAAGGTGTGTGTATGTGTGCAGGAGGTCCCTGCTTAAAACCCACATCACACAGAGAGCCTCAGCCCGGCATCAAACAGGTGCAGCCAAAGCAAACTTCTAACATACCAGAGTCATAGAGAACACAGTTTGCCTGGCTTTGGGAAAGAGCCCTGGAAATTGTCCCCACTTAGGCTGTGGCTGGGATGTGGGGACCACAACTGTGCCCCTTTAATTGCACATCTAGAAATGTGGCCTCAGAAACACAAATGTTTATTAACACAGCAGGGAACTGAAAATCTCTCTGGGAGCCCAACTTCTGCCTCTCTCTTTAGGTCTCCAGGTGAGTGGCCTACTTGAAGAGCACCCGAGAGCGGTCTCCCACACCAGCCATCTATCTCCTCAAAATAAAGGGGGAAAAACTGCAAACGCCAGCTTACCTAACCATTTCCTCCACACAGACTCAGAAACTCACCTTTAAATGAACAACTTAGCTGGAATTTCAAATAATTAAAAAAAAACAGCAGAATCTTTAAACTGAGAACTTAGCAGGTCAGTGATGGAAGGTAGAATTTGGCAAAGAGGTTCCTTTGCTCCAAATGCTCTCAGGTGTAGCCTGTCTGGTTTGTTTCTCTGGGGGGGTAGTATCGCCCCTTAACCTACATGATATTCTCTTGTAAAGCATGGGTAAACCAAGATATGGTAAAGTCTGCAACAGGGTCATACTCACCTGTCTGTTAGACGAGCTTTCAGTATTTCCTCTGGGGGCTGGGAGAGGGGGAAAGACATTATGGCTGGTCAAATACTGCTTTGTTAAATGACAGGCTCAACAACATCAGTTGGCAGACTTGGTCAGATGGCCATGAACCCACAAAGACCCTGAGCCTAGATCTGGAAGAATAAGTTTTTCAATCGCCACAGAGACACTGTCAAATGACACAAATGTCCTACTTCAGCATTAAAAGAATGCCTTGTTTTGCCCCAAATCCTAAACATGGGTTCACCAGCCGCAAAGAGTGGTCTTCCAGAACTTTCCCAGAAAGGCATGGAGACTGAGCTGCAACCCCCCCACCACAGACAGACAGACAGACAGACACACACACACACACACAGACACACATACATCCTGTTCATTTAAATCATTTTAGTTCAGTATTAAAATTAGAAAACATTAGCTTTGACTCCTTTTATTAAAATCTCGACATGAAATCGCAGCTAAGGGACAGGTGCTGCTTATCCTTGGCTTGAAGACTGGGGTGGGGGTTCTGTTCCTATTCCCAGTGGGGCCCCCACTCTTGTGGTACACGGGCCCTCTCTGCCTCAGGTGCCCTCTCCCCCCCTGCCTCACTCTGGTCCCTGCTCAGGGTTCACCTGGTCACAGTCCCTCCTCGGCCAAGGTCTATGGGGTTCCCAAACCTTCCCTCCTACTTTGTTGTCATGGCCCTCTCTCACCCCCAAGACCTCCTTTATTCTCTCCTGGCCACGGACAGTTGCCGTCTATCCCCAGTGGGCTAGCCTCATCTCCCTTCTCTCTCCCTATCCACTGTTTAGTCGCAAGGTAGCATTAGATGATGTGTTCCCCGGCGGCCCATAAGTACACACAGGCCAGAATACCAGATGTCCCTGTCTCCTCAGTCCAGACTCTACCTCCAACCATAGGGACTCATGGGAGTCTAAATAGATGACTCTACTTCCCCTTAACTGTAGTCTTGGCCATTCCTTACCAGGACCAGGTAGCCCCCTCTCTAGAGCTGGTCTGGGCTCTCCCAATGTCCCATCCATGTTCCCTTCTTGCAGGCAGGTACCTGCAATGCCTCTGCCTCCAAAGCCTGCTCTGAGCCCAAGATTCCCAGAAGTCCTCTGTGTAGACATCTCCCTCATTCCAAGGAACCTGCTGATACTAGATGCCCTTTAGATATGCACCATGTAGTTTCCTGAAAGGTAAGACACCTCTCTCCTGTCTCTCTCTCTGTCTCTCTGTCTCTGTCTCTGTCTCTCTCTGTGTGTGTGTGTGTATGTGGTGTCTGTGTGTGTGTCTGTGTCTATGTGTCTGTGTGTCTGTGTCTGTGTGTGTGTGTCTGTGTGTGTATGTGTGTGTCTGTGTCTGTGTGTGTCTGTCGTGTGTGCATGTGTCTGTGTGTGTATGTCTGTGTCTGTGTGTGTGTCTGTGTGCATGTGTGTGTGTCTGTGTGTGTGTGTCTGTGTCTGTGTGTGCATGTGTCTGTGTGTGTGTGTGTCCCCACTATGTGCCATGGGTACATTTATGTAACTAGATCAGGGTCCAGGCTAGATTTCTATCATTGATTTTTGCTAATTTCTGGGAAGATGGCTCTTAGATTTAAAGATGGCTATCCAAATTCCCTTTAGCCAATTACTGTAATGCTGTCCTGGCCACAGCCACACTGCTCAGAGGTATGCATGCACGTTCTGCGTGTTTTCTCCAGCATATTGAGGAAGCTGGTCCCCAAATCACAGAATTAAATGTCAGGACCGTACACTCCATCCAGCCTGGGATTCCCTCCACTCCCGTAACATCTAGTGACTTAAGCCAGGCCCCACAGAGACACATGTCCAACTGTGAAGACAGCTAAACCCACGGGGAGAACTGATCTCCTAGAGGTGATGATTTCACTGTGCCCTGACCTGGCCTAAATGTTCCAGAGGAGTCTGCTATGGACTGTGCTGGTCGGTTATCGCCAGTGGTTCTGAAACCAGGAGCTGAGGCATGTTGAAGAGTGTTAGCCACTGTGATTAGGAGAATAACTGGGTTTGGCTTCAGACCTATACCCATTCACACTCCAGGGACTTGCTGCTCTCTCGGCTGCGTGACAGGCCGCTGACTACCTGCTGTTGCTTCTATACGGGTGACAACAACCAATGGCATACCGTGTGTCTCCTACCCGACAGACTGCAAGTAAGGCAACCTTATAAAATCCAGGTAGCAATCCCATAGGCGCGAACCCCCAACTTGGGTCACAGTCAGAGCAGTGAAGTAAGGCTTACTGTGGCGCTTCCTGGTGTTGGCTTTACCGTCCTCCCTGGTGACACCCAAGCAACCCATCAGCTCCTGCACAGTGATGGACTTGTCATTGTTCGCGTCACAGTATTCCACAAACTTCTTCACACACTTCTTGGGCTTGGACTTCTTCCGCAGGAACCTCTTGAAGGGCTTGATTTCCTTCTTGCCAATGTCCCCGCTAGCGTTCTTATCAAGGAGCTTGAAGTACCAGTGCACCACCCTCTCCTCCAGGGTGTGGCTGGGGTCCGGCTCTGATAACCTACGGGGGAGACGACCGTGTCAGGCAGAAGTCTGAAGTTGTTGCACACCCCGACTCTGGCTCCCTTTCGCCGTGTCCCAGGTGGGGACCTGATACAGTCGTTCTCAGTTACAACATAGGTGAGTCATCTGTCATGGCTCAGCCAGTGAGTTCAGAACCAGGGACACCACATCACATGTGTGCACTGTGATTATTCAGTTGGTTGAGGCCTTGAAACAAAAGGTCGCCGTCCTGAGACCTGGGGTTCCCTCAGGCCAACAGGTGGGGTCAGCCACCAACAGCCACCAAGGGCGCAGGGTTTCTTCCCTAATGCAATCATTTCTCATGTAAGGCATTCTTAGATAGGAGAGGTTAGTGGAAGGTGACATCAAATTTTTTAAAGTTGTCACTGGACCCTTTGGATTTTTTTTAAGCTGGACATTTCTAAGACACAGGCTGTGAGTCAGACCTTGAAGCTGTGCGGTGACAACGCTCACTGGTCACCTGAGGTGGAGAACCTGTGCTATCACTTTGAGCTCTGTGGACCCCACTTCCCACAGGTTTAGATGATCTTTCTTTCCTGAGAGTACAAACATAGCAAGCAGATGCCCACAGCCCGCAGGGACTGGACTCCCTGACATTATCCTGGGTCAGACACTCGGAGGGCATGTCAGTCACCTCCACGATATGAAATATAAAGTTGAAATTTAGGCAACCTCTTTTGCCTTAGCTTATCATCTAATTACGGCATTTCACCTTGGTAATGCCTTCTTCCCTTACACCTTCTTTGGCAAAAGAATGCAGAATGAAGGGCATTTTGCTAAGGAGACTTCATGCGTGAGATGGCCAGGAGCTTGCTGAAGAGTGGGATAGAAACCAGTACTTTCAGCACGATAAAAAAAGAAACACTAAAATAGAATTGCTTTTAGAAATGCAATGAGAGAATGTGAACACACAGGGTGAGTTTAAGTGTTGAAGTGCCACAGCTGTTTGAAGATGGAGGTTTCTGTCCCGCCTGGTCCCACAGGGCTTTGCTGCAAATTAACACACAAGGACTCCTTGCAACCCATCCTCTCCCTTAATGGGTCAGGTCTGCACCTGAAACCACGCCCAAAGGGTGTGGCCACTGCTACAAGTTCACCGGCAAGGCAAGATGCCACTACACCTGTTCACCTGGAGAACTTTGTCACCCTGTACTGTGAGGCAGAGGGGGCACGGGCGCTGTGGGTCCTAACATGATACAAAACTCAAGCCTTGGTGTGTCTACACTGTGCACAAGGAGAGCATTTCTTTTTGACTTTTTTGTTTGTTTGTTTGTTTTGTTTTTCAAGACAGGGTTTCTCTGTATTGTTTTGGAGGCTGTCCTGGAACTCACTCTGTAGACCAGGCTGGCCTGGAACTCACAGAGATCCGCCTGCCTCTGCCTCCTGAGTGCTGGGATTAAAGGCGCGCCAACAATGCCCGGCCCCCAAGGACAGCATCTCTAGGGCAGAAACTGTATTGGTAGGATCAATGCCCCTGAGTTGTACACTTGAATCTGGATAAGAAGATAAGCCTCATATGCTGTGCAGGTTCCAGCAATAAATAAGTCACAGCACCCAGGAGGCAGATACAGAGGCAGGCAGATCTCTGAGTCTGAGGCCAGCCTGGTCTACATAGTGAGTTCCAAGACAGCCAGGGCTATACAGAGAAACCCTGTCTTGAAAACAAAACTATAATATATATTATATGTACATATGTATATATATATGTACATACATATATATATTAGTTGCAGAATTCTGAAGCATTTAAACTCATAAATAACTCTTGGACTCAATTTCAACACACACACACACACACATATACATATATATATATATGTGTGTATATATCTAAAGCAAGTGCATTTCCATTCTTAGCCCTCCCTGGACCCCAGGGGCCCCTGAAAATGAAGAGTGGGGGCTGTTTCCAAGTGTCTTCTGGTTTAGAGAGGCTCCTTTCTCCTAACTACATCCTAGGGAACTGCCTGGTCTCACTTGGCCACTGGCCAGGAAGACTTAGCTTTCCAGATTCCTTCACATTTCTGGGCTTCTGGCCAGCATATTGCTCTGCAGCGAGACACGGCATACCTGCCAGAGGAGGAAGAGGGGTCAGAGACGGCGTGAACCATGTCTGTGGAGAGTGCATCCAGGACACTTGTCAGAAACTCATTCTTTTTGGCACCAGGACAACCTGAAAAAAAATGCACATTTTTCCCCTCTGTTAGTGGAATCCATAAAGTATAACAGATTTTTTGGTGGTGCAATGGGAAACAAACAAACAAACAAACAAAAAAGATTTGGTATTCAGAAGTTAGTGCATTAGACTGCTTCATATGAATGATCTGATTTGAGGCAGACACTTAGTATAAAATTGTGTGTGCCACCAGTACTCTGTAGATGCGGGCACTTGGTAATTCACAGCTGTGGGCCTTGACACACAGCCACTGTTAGCCATGTTGAACGGTGACACGAAAAGGAGATTCTCAGGTGTTAGCCCTGTGTTAATCTTTGAAGCTACAATGCAAGCATGCATGGGTATCCTTTTGTTGCATGAGACTCTTGGAAACATCAGGAGACACCAAGCTCTCCCCACTGGGAGATCTAACACAGGCTAGTGAGCCCAGACGTTGTCAGTCACCACTGCAGGTCTCCTGGAGCCCCACATCTGGTTAGAAGCAATACGAGGAAGACTTGTGGTTGCCTCCTTATGGGCAGATCAGATCCAGAACATCAGCTCAACACATATCAAGTAACAAGGGAGTTCACACCCTTGAGCCCCAGACCTCACTGTGAAGGATCACTGGACCCAGGAAATCAATCACTAATTATGCCATCTAAAGCTCAGTTTTCCACAGAGCACTTCCCATGCACGGTACCGGCTTCCCTTACTCAGCCCCACTTGCGGGCCCTGGGACTCTTCGCTAACAAGCGTACCCTGAATTGTGGCAGCTGCACAGAGAGACTAGCATGCTGGTGTGGTTAAAGACACTCTGGTTTCATGGTTTTCCTTTTGGACACCTGGGTTTTTGTTACTATGATTCAAGTAAATGCTAGCTGCCTGTGGCAAGGATCCGTGGAGGTCTGCTTCGACTTATTAAACATTGTAGCAGAAAACAGATGTGAGCCTTTCACAGAGCGTGTGGAACTTGAGACCAGAAAGACTATGTATCTATCTTCTCTTCTGTGCCCAATTAAAAGAATGGATTGCCATCTATAGGAAAAACCATAACCACTGGGTGGAGGTCTCTGTGAAAATGCCCTGTATCCCCCTGAGGCATTCCCCAGGAAGGAAACAGAAGCCTGAGGTGACAGAGGCTGAGGGTGGTAGCCATCCTTGCTGGACAGCTAGAGATGACACAGTCATGGATGGTGGGGAAACAGAGGGCAGAAAAGATGTAGCAGGCCCATCTGAAGATGCTTCCCAAATGCCAGCCTTACAGCCAGTTCACCCAAGATAACTATGAGGGCAGAAGGCACCCTGGGGGAGTTTAGCGGACCTGTGCAAAACCCTCAGGTGCACCCATGAGCTCTAGGGCTTAGCCTCAAGAGACTCAGATGGTAATACAGAGAAGGTAGCCACTGGTCGCATCCACTCAGAGAATGTCCACGGAGGACCTGTGGAGAAGCAGGGGTCTGTCACAATCAAAATCAAGCAAGGTCCTTGCTTGGAGTGGATGCCTGGACATGAAGTACTTATTTAATATTGCTGTAGGTAACTTTGACAGCCATTTTCTTTAGACTCTGATGCCTACGGATGTTACAGTGTTAGAGCTATCAACAATGGAAAAGGAATACTGTGTCATCCCCACAGAGGGGAGAATTGTGGGGACTGGCTGGAACGGGGGGCCCTGGAAGGTACTCACTGGCAACCTGAGCTGGGAGAGTGAGGGTGTGTCTCCTGAACACGAATACTCAGGCATACTAGCGGAAATGTGAGAAAGCCAGTCACAGGAAGGGCCAGAGCTGCCTGCAGCCACCACCCAGGTTTGCGTTGCCTCCGTCACTAAGTACCTTGAGCTGACTGCTCCCTGACAGAATCTGAGAGCCCTTTGTCCTCACTACAGAGCCCGGGCAGTGCTGCCTCTGAGATACAGCATGGATTGTAGCACACAGGTATTTATTCCCAATGACCAGGACAAACAAACATGTGTGAGACTGGAGAGGTCAGGGGAGAGAGCTGAAAGCAACCCATCACTCTTAAAAGGCGATTGCTCCAAGATGCGTATACAAAACGTAGCTGTGTCATGGCGCTAAGAGTGTGTCACCAGGGAGATGCAGTCTGGCAAGCATCCTGACTTGAGATAAAAGAGCAGTGACCCCACGTGACCTCACAGTAGTCTGGTGTTGTAGAAAAAAAACTCATGAGCCTGCAGATATTAGTTCCCACTCCTACAATCTTAACCCGTCCACACAGCTCACAAACAGTGAGCCCTTGGGCTCCTTTATGACATTAGGTCTCTATCCAGACACAGACTGACAGGAAACATAAGACTCAGGTGTGGCTTCATGCTTCTCCTCTTGATCAGCTGCCTGTCTGGGAGGAACCCGATGGCTTCCAGGAATGCTGGTGCTCCAGGGTGAGTGTCAGAATTAGGCATGAGGGTCTTGATGTAACAGGAAGTCACTTTACTTAGCGATCATTCTGCTAGAAGGATGTTCTCCAAGAAAATGCAGAGTTGAGTGGGTTCAGAGGTCCTTGGCCCCACACACTTCTCCAGAACAACTCACAGTTGTCAATGCCTTAAAAAAATCACTTAAAAACATCTTTCAAAACAAATGTGTTCTGCACTCTCTATGAAACACTCTCATTTAAAAAAAACAGACTCCTTTTATTTAAAAAACTACCGACTTCAGTAATTTTGCTCACGCTTATGATTTTCCCCCTGGCATGAATTTATACATGTTCATGATGACTCCCTTGATTGCAAGGCACGCCTCCTCTACAGATCATCATGGCGAATTTACACTGTCTCCCAGCGACCTACATGGCATGCCTGACTACCGCAAGGAAACCCCACACAGAGGCAATGAAGGCAAAGAGCAGTTTATGGGGGAGAAGAGGTTGTGAGATCCTAATCTGGGTCTGTACCCGTGCTGGCCAGACACGACAAAGGTGTTGTTAGTGCTGTGAGACTGGAGCCAGCCGTCCGGGTAAGCACCCAGGCCTTGAGCGGCTTGACGACAGAGACTTCATGAGTGTGTGAAGTACTTTGCTGATGTCACATTTTGCATTTTGGGCTCCTTGACTCTTGCTGCGTTTTAAAGGTCTAGTTTAAATTGTATCATTGCTACCAACTGAACAGGACACACAGCCAAAATGTCTGCCTGTCTGTCTATAGTGACTACTCGGTGGGAAACCGGCAGGGTGCTGTTTTCTTTAAGCTCAGAGCACAAAGTCTTACACTTGACGCTTGAGCCCACTTCGACGCCACAGGTTCTCCCAACCACCACGCAAGCCTCGGGGCACTCGAAAGCCTTGCAAAAACTGATGACTCTTCTCATACCGAGAGATGCATAAAGACACAGGAGGTACAGGCATGAATGACTCTTACACCAACTTAGTGAAAACCTGAAAGCATTTGGTCTAGGAAACCATGACCAGACTGAACTGGAGGAGGCCAGAGTATAGAACCCATCACTGAACAAGGATCAAGACCCCTCCATTCTCCTCAATGCTCCTAAGCCCACAGTGATGGCAATGACAGACCAGATTTAGCCTCCCTGGACAACCACCCTAGCGTGGATGTGGTGGGAGTGGAGAGAAGTCCTCAGACGACTTCAAACTCCTTGCTGAGGCAGGGAGTGAGGAAGGGAAGGTGGGCACCGTTGTGATCAGGCAAGAGGCTGCTGTTGAGCCAAGCCTGGCTAGTACCTTTCCTGTGCCCAAAGAAGATTCCACCACCTAACATGTGGGGAGTTTGGAAATGGGCTTGGCTGAGATGCTTGGGACTTTAGCCATTAGTAATGATCCAGGGTCACACGGCCTCTGAAACACGAGGTCACAGAGATTCCTAGAACATAGCTGTTCCAAGATAACGTGCATCTCCTCCTTGTATAGCCACAGGCTTATTCAGGGTGATGGGACCCGTTCCCCCATCAATCCTCTGCTGTCTTTCCTTATGCACAAATCAGATCTTCATAAAGTTTCACGTCAGGCCTGTGAAAAGAATCAAAATGTAGACACCGGCAACCAGCCACCGCTAATGGACTAGCTGCCAGAGAGCCTCCTGCCATTTGAAAGACTTGAGAGAACATGGCTGAAGGAGACTGCCTTCCCTAGGGCATCAAGCCTGGAAGGATGGAGTAAGGGGAAAGTTGTTACTACATTTTCAAGTCACTAAACTGTTCTCTTCCCCTCCGGGCTGTCATTCAAGTGAAAAGGCCCAAACAATTCCAGGATAAGAGCTCAGGAAAGTGGAAAGTTCTCTAAAGAAAGACTGTGCCTGTCTGACCCATCTCCTTGGGATTCAGGCAATGACTTACGTGAATTTTCCTCTCATTGAAAATGTCTAACACCGTATTGCTACACAAACATATATATATATATGCATAGAACTATGCATAGAAAGCACTTTTAAGAACACAAGCTCCCAGGCTCTTGGCTCTCTCCATTCTAAATTGGTGGGTGTGGTTTTTTGGTTCGTCATTAATGGTGCTGATCCTACTTAGGTGTCTGTCTTAATAAATTATTAAGACATCTCATTCTTAACAAATCAGCTCAGAGCTGGAGAGATGGCTCAGCCGTTAAAGGCTAGGCTCACAAATCAGCTCAAAGCCTCAGCATACTCAGGACACTGTCTCCTTGGTTCCTCTGTTGAGGGTTTCCTTCCTATTCCCAGCAATACCACACCATTAGCCATTGTGTTTGCACCATAATACCTCCATGCCACCGGAATACCTCCACGCCAGCTCCAGTCTTTATTGGTGAGTGGCTGGGGATGGTACTGGTTGCATTTGGAAAATCACACCCAGCTATATGCATTTGGTTTCTTCCTGCCTTAGAAATCTTGGCAAGGAACGACAGCTGATGGAAACCACCCATGCAGGATCCTCACTGCAGAGGAACAAGATGCTTCAGTCTCACCATGATTCACTCAGGTCCTGCCCTAGAGAACTCAAAGACAGAGGCTCAGGGCTTGCCTGCCGATTAGGGGCTGGACATTCTTTACAACGTATGACAAGCTAATCAGG